ATATATATATATATAGGGAGAGGTTCAAATAAAAACCTCACTATCCTAAAAACTAAAAACCAATCCTCTCCATTGGATCTAGATTCATCCAATGGCTGAGATTAAAGCTGCATAAGGGTAATAAGGTAAAATAAACAGCTCACTAAAGAGAGATAATTAATGCTTCTTGTTGAGTTCTCCATTTCCCCATGCAACTCTCTCTCTCTCTCCAAAATCACAGCATTGAGTTCTCCATTTCCCCATGCAACTCTCTCTCTCTCTCCAAAATCACAGCAACTCTCTCTCTCTTTCATCCAAAATCACAGCAAATCACTCTCTGTCTTCAACATCTCCCTATCCACGGTCTTCTTCAACCTTCGTCTTCAACCTTCATCTTCAACCATTGTCTTCAACATTTGTCATCGTTTAATTATTTTAACGCTTTAGTGGTAAGTTTATGAAATTTGTTTGATTTTTCGTCTAAAAGTTTTAGTTTTAACCTTAAAGATCGTAGCTTTTTGTTGTAAAAGGTGAAATATTTTACCTTTTAGTCTGAAAAGTTTTTTTGTTTTTTGAAGAAACCAGTTGAAAAACGAAGACACACATAAGTGAATCCAGATTCACTGCAGTGAATCCAGATTCAGTATGTGAGGTGTTTGTTTTTTACCATAAAAATCGTAATTTTTTGCTATAAAAGGTGAAATCTTTTCATGGTTTAAAATTTTATAGCTTGTTTTTTATCATAAGTTTCTTATTCTTTTTGTTTAAAATTTTATAGCTTGTTTTTTACCGTAAGTTTCTTATTCTTCAATATAATCCAAATTCAATGGAGTGAATCCAGATTCACTGGAGTGAATCCAGATTCACTGGAGTGAATCCAGATTCACTGGAGTGAATCCAGATTCACTGGAGTGAATCCAGATTCACTGGAGTGAATCCAGATTCACTGGAGTGAATCCAGATTCACTGGAGTGAATCCAGATTCACTGGAGTGAATCCAGATTCACTGGAGTGAATCCAGATTCACTGGAGTGAATCCAGATTCACTGGAGTGAATCCAGATTCACTGGAGTGAATCCAGATTCACTGGAGTGAATCCAGATTCACTGGAGTGAATCCAGATTCACTCCAGCGAAAGCTTGGATGGTTAGGATGGTTTTTAATGAATTGTTGAAGAAATAAATGCATGTGCTGTAATTTCGAAGAAATAAACGCATGAGTGAATCTAGATTCACTGCAGTGAATCCAGATTCAGTTATGTGAGGTGTTTGTTTTTTACCATAAAAATCGTAACTTTTTGCTGTAAAATGTGAAATCTTATCATGGTTTAAAATTTTATAGCTTGTTTTTTACAATAAGTTTCTTATTCTTTTTTATTTTTATTTTTGCAGATTTGCTATTGTTTGATAACGAGTTTCAGTTCACTGAATCTGGATTCAATTCAGTGAATCTCGATTCACTCCAATAAATCGAGCTTCAATATAATTCAAATTCAATGGAGTGAATCCAGATTCACTGGAGTGAATCCAGATTCACTGGAGTGAATCCAGATTCACTCCAGCGAAAGCTTGGATGGTTAGGATCATTTTTAATGAATTGTTGTTGTGTTCTTCATGCGAAGATGGAAGATCAAAGCTTGATAGAAGATGAAAGTGAGTTACAGAGAGCAGGAAAGTGATGATAGTAAGAGAGAGTATTAAAGGACGTGTTGTATTTTTGGTTTTAATCATTATCTCCAGCTTCCAATGTTGCCAGCCACCATTAATATAGTGAATTGTTCCAATTTTACCCTTTTCACATTAATGATGTGTATTAAATTTGTCTATATTTACAATTCTGCCATCAAAATGTAGGCCATTAGATTAGATAGATTGAAGGGTTAGGATTGGTTTTTAGTTCTCTAGGTTTTTATTAGAACCTCTCCCTATATGGTGCCCCTAAAATTACTTTTTATTTAATTTTTAATTAAAGGGCAAAATTGTACTTTACATTCCATCTTCGTACTCAATCCTCATTCAGTTCCCAAACAACATTTTTTTCCCACAATCACCTTACAATCTCTTTCGATGACCTCATATTCAAAATTTTCTGCATATGTTATTTAATAAGTTCCTATCAATAAATCAAAGAAGTTAATGTCATCAAAAAGCAAATATCAGTATTAAGAAAGTATTATCCAACTGAACAAGGGTTCTTTAAACTCATTTTTTTAAAACTCCTTTAATTCTTAGATCTCTCCCATTCTCGATTTGAAATCTTCTAAAGAGTTTTTTGAGAAAAGAAGTCTTCTAACAAGCTATCGAACTTGTTATTAGTTGGAAAATCTAAAAACTTATGTTTCTTTTGACGCACGCTTTTTGATCTAAAAAATGGTGAAAAAGAAAGAAAACTTGACAAATAAGAAAAAAAAAACTAAGATGATGGTTTATTCAAGTAGCCAGTAAAAAGAAATGATATGTGTAAATAATAGAGGAGGATTGGGTCAGTATAATTGTTAGAAAATCAAAATCAATCGGATGAGGAGGAAGATGATGGACAATAGACTTCTTCAATTGTCCTTGAAAGTTGTTCAATTTACAAAACTGGGCGTGGGACTCTAAACAAGCACGTGGACCATATCAACGGGAGTATTGGGGGCTGCTTGGATAGATTTTTTTGGGTGGTAAAAGAGGAGAAAACTGCCAAAAATGACAGCTTTTTGGCAGCTTTCCCCCAAAATCACCTTTTTAAGAGGTGATTTTGAGGGAAAGCTGCCAAAAAGCTGACATTTTTAGCAGCTTTCCCCACTTTTACCCCAAAAAAAAGGAACCAAACAGCCCCTAGAGAGCAAAATTTACTGAAATATACCTGTTTGTGAACCTGTTTAACATTCTAATGGGAGTAATCTTGCTCCAATTTTTTTGATGCGTATGTATGTAGAATGACATTTTAATCTCTTTTATACAGATAATTATTGTTTACTTAAAGGGTTGCTGGAGGTAGTCTTATTTTAGCAATTTTAATTGAGTTGTGCGCAGAATTTAAGCCCAAGTCCTTGCATTAACCAACTGGAGAAAAGTTGGTGCTGTCCTGAATGCATATTTAGTTCTCAGACCTGGAAAATTTGGTGTTTTATTCTGTGTCAACATCTACTTTTTCTGGATTTCATTATCAATTTAATATTCAAGAAGCAAAGGAGAAAGGAAATGCCATTGTTTGTCTTACTCTGTTTCAGTTTCAGTATTTGGTGGAGAAAATCACTTAAAAGAGTAACCCGTTTAATATTCAAGAAGCAAAAGAGAATGCCATTGTTTGAAAGAATTTCACTTAAATGTTTAGTATTCTCTACCATTTGGGTTATATGGGTCGGGTCGGGTAACCCGTTTAATAAACGGGTGGATCGCATTGACCCGTTTATTAAACGGGTCAGGTCGGGTTATACTTATACGGGTCGGATCAAATTTTATATGGGTCGGATCGGGTCGACCCGTATGCCACCCCTGGACCGAACACAATAAATTCACTTTGGGAGCATTGAAGCTGTTGTTGGCCATGCATATGCTCATACGCCTACCCTCACTTGTTTTCTCCGTTTGGGAACACGGAATTTTCCGGACACGTGGCGGCCACTCATAAACAGATGAACGATCTCAAATGCTGCCATTTGCACATAATAAAAGCTTCGACCTTTATTCCCTTGCTTTGCTCAATGCTTGTAGGTTTTTTGAGTAGATTTTTGAGAAGATAAATCTTCAATTAGGTTGGAAGAGCCGAAGAGGGACATCAAATCTCTTGTAGGTACCTTTACTTCTTTATTCTAACTATAGAAATTTTCTCAGCCAACATTTTTGGTGTTTGTTTTTCCCCCCTTCATTTTTGGTGTTTGTTTTTCCCCCCTTTGATAAGGAAATAAAGAGGAAAGAGGAAAATTTGAAGC